GTTTGTAACCTTACAGGGGGTGAAGAGTTATTAAGTTTGTTTATACTTGTGATAAAGATTGGAAGTCACCTCTTTATATATTTCTTTTTTCTTTATCTTACTTTCTTCTTTTTCTTTTTTTTTCTTTCTTTCTATTTCTCCTCTCTCTGAGTTTAGTTTGTATTTGCTTTTACTATTGTAATTAAAATCTTCAATAAAAATTATATTTAAAAAAAGGAAAAGCAATACTGGGTAAAGATCTGATGCTCCTGTCTGCACAGCAGAACCCATCGGTAACATGGACAAATAGCTCTGAAAGCTACAGATAGCATAATCTCCATGAAACCACAACTGACATTGGGGGGGGGGGAGGAGATCACTATAGAAGGCACTGTGATGAAAAGAGGAATTTTTCTCATGGTTATGCTGGCAAATGTATACAGTGACTACAAGGTCTTGCTTTGGGATATAGCTTGGGACTCTGGTGAAAGAAATAACTAGCAAATACAGATATATGAAATACATCCTTTATTTTGGATACTGAACTCCAAATACTTGTAGCATCAGATGTCTGCCGAGGTTCCCTGTCTCTATGACAGCTGTTGGGAAGGAAACAACAAATTCAATTGAGGAAACAATGAAAAAGAGATTATAAGGCATCAGAAACTAGTTCTTCCCATTAGATGGCCTACAAGAGCAGGAACTTTTTCAGTGCCACAACATGATTCTCTTGGCCCTGAAAGAATGATGGGTCACAAATAAAAGGAAAAGAAAGGATGTCTGGGATTCTGAGAAAGAGCTAAGAGGAGACAGACATATGTGATCATAACTGCCTTTCTTCAGATGAAGGTCAAGTTTCTTCCAAGCTTGCCTCACATTTCCAAATTTTTTAACCTTTCTTCTCGCTATTGTAAGATAAGAACGGTACTAAAGATACTATTCATGTATTTACTCATCTGCTGTGTATTTTAATTTTCATGTAATTTGACAGTGAACTGTGAACACCCATCATATGATGAACAACTTGCTACTTCTAAATCCATGCAAACAGCTTTGTTGATTAGCCAAATGTTTTTCAAAGCTTCAGAGTTAGCAACTTCACAGAAAGAATTTGGGTCAAAACACATCCCACAAACAAATGCTGAATTCTTCACATTTCAGTGTATTTTTTCTCATACCTGGGTTATGTAACATCGGTTTTCTTCAGCACCTTCTGATGGTTGCTTAAAGCCTGGTGGTAAAGCAGGACCTATAATAGGTCTCAAGAATAGAAAGAGAATTAGATTTTAATAACATTGCCCTGTACAGCATACAAAGAATAGCTATTAAAAGCTGCTCTCAAGCTAAATTTCCAAGCATATAAGTTCATATCCCACTTACACACATCTACCCCTGCATTCTTCCTGCGATACTAATGTTACTGAGGAGTCTGTAGCTTGCTTCCAAAAGTCATGGGTTCCCTGCCTGTCCAGACAGACCAGGATACCTCATACTTCCTACTTCCCTCTAAGTTCCTCCCATCTGCAGGATGGACCCTTCTCTTCATGAGTCTCTTACATCCTACAAACAATATACAGAAACAACTCCATGTATAAAAACCAGCACCCCACATCTTTTTAATACTTAAGGTTCAGACTTGGCTTTAATACAAAAAAATGGAATGAAATGTGGAAGTCACATAACGCTTCTGCTTACCCTCTTTGGGCCCGATTCTGAGAATGGGTGCTACAGCACCCATCTGATGCCCTCCCTGCCAAACACCGAAGGCAAATTTGGCTCTGAGCAGGTCTTGAAAGAGAATCTACAGCCCCTTTAAATAGCCTCAAACTTTTATCTACAAGGATGAAACAAGCCGAGTCACTTTGGAACCACCATGGGAGGAATGTAACAAATCATCAGCTTCTGATCATTGGATACAATGTGACACAAGAGGAGAAAAATTGCTCACAAAACTGCAAAAAATGTTGTTGTTTTTTAAATCAAAACAGCCAACATTTCTGACTCACAGAATGGTTTTTTTTTTAAACAATCTTTACAATTATAGCTTGTGTAAATAGAATCCAATCATGGCACTTTGGTTATCAAAACCACAAAAAGTTACTTAATTCTTGGTTCAGATTTCCCCCCCCACAAATTAACTTTTATCATCACTAATACAGTTTGTTTTCTCCTGAGATATGTGCCAATTGTAAAGAATTCTTACTGGCAACAGGTAAGGTTCCTCCTTTTGCCAGGGAACCAAAAATATGTTATCGTTCTACAGCTATACACATTCAATCCCAAAGATTGGGCTGGCGAGAAATACAAAGACGCTCTTAACAAAACAGAAATGATTTATTTTCTGTCTCAATAGCTGTATCAAGATAAGCAATCTCTTTTTCTCAGAATCTTAAATAAGTTGTATTTCATTTCATTTGTGCCATTAAAAAAAAAAAGCCTTTTACTAAACTTTGGATCATTTTTCAAAAGTTTTGAAAGCATTACCAAAGTATCAAAACAACAGTTAAACATTCAAATGTTTCTTTGCAAAGAATCAAAAGGCTTGTAAGTTTTTTTATCCCCTATCCTTCTGTTTACAGAAGAGGCTGGATTCTCCGTAAGATTTAACTTGCAGAGGAAGATTTAACTTGCAGGGGGCTAATGGCAACCTGCATTTTGAAAAGGGCTCCAACTAAAAGGTATATTATGTTCCTCTTATCAATCTGGTGACCTGAAAAGCTTCATTCATTCATTCATTCATTCATTCATTCATTCATTCATTCATTCACTCATTCACTCACTCACTCACTCGTCCTCAAGCAGGATAGACCTTATTGTTCTTAACGATACCCACAGTAAGACCTGTAGATTCAAGTCCTTTAAAAGAGAAGCCAGTCATGTCTGTTCTCTTGGACTCCATGTTAAATACCAATGCAGGACCTGATTCTTCAGCTTTTTATAGAATAACCGAATCGTCAATGCTGCTTTTTGATGCCTAAGACTCTTCTGATGCATATCACATTTGAGACTATTTAGAAGGAGAAAAGAGGTTTAAAGTTTCCAACAAACTATTCAAAACACAATCTATGCTGACTTCCAAAGATCACACGTGAACAGCAATTTTTTTCAAGGAGAGCCCGAATCTGGTTGGTCATCCCTCCTTCATATCCAACAGGGTTGGCAAAGATGTAGAAAGTACAGAACGATGTGTTGCCTCTCACTAGGTGCGTAGCATATGGTAGCGTTTAGGCTTATAGGGAACATCTCCCCAGTCCAGAACAAAATGGAACCGGATCATTTCCTCACTGTTGGTGGGGGGAGGGAATTTCCTTCACCCTCCCCAGTTGAAATCCTGGTCAATCGCTGGACAGGGAAATCAACAACTGGCAGTTGAAACAGCTGTTCCTGAGTAGGGCTCCGTAGCATTCAAAGGTGAAAAGATCCTTCAGAGCACTTTGGGGTGCTCACACAGCTCCAGTTGGCAGCTACTTAAAGCAGCTGCATCCTTCCCCCAGAACAACTGTAGTATGATCCTGGGGAGACATATGTTTGGTTTAAGGAGGTGCTAATCGGTGCTATATGCTCACCTGTGTGCATTCTTAGGCACTCTTTTCCCTTCACCTCTGAAGCACAGTATTGCCCAACTCCCGAATGCTCTCTCCCTCCAGACAGAGAGAAGGAGGAGGCAGACAGTGGGTGCATGCATGAAATTCAGGATGAATCTGATTGAAGACAGGAGAAAGTCTTCATTAAGGCTTATGCTGGAACTTCGAAGGCAGCAGTGAAATTGTGCTTTTCCACTACTATCACATCCACACAAAATCATCCAATAAGTCTCTTCCAAGCTGTAAAAGAACTATTATATCAAGGCTGACCTAAGGGAGACAACTTCACAGCCTGGTGTGACATTTTGCTAGACGCTTGGCAGAAAAAAATTGCCTGCATTGCTTCCAACTTGGATTCCTTGTATATAGCAGATTGCAATGACATAACTTCTACTTGTTATGTGAGTTTCAATTTATGCAGCTTGGGGATGAGAACAAGACGCCATGAGCCCAACCATATGTGTGCTTCGCCCTTTCACTTCCTGGCTGATTAAGGCTTGTTAGAGTGGATTCAGAGAATGGATACTCCATTGTCAGAACAAGGATCAGCATCTCACTGCACTGCCATTCTTGATGCCATAGCTGAAAAACCATTAGGCAGCCCAGACTCAACCAATAGCTGAAAAAGGGCCCATTGCCCTTGATATAAGCTCGTGGTTAGCTCAGCTTGCCTATCCAGCTGTGGGAACACCTTATTTGAAGGGCCAGAGGGCAGGGAGATAGAGAAGTGCATGGCTACACTCAGAAACAGCTGGCTCAGGCAGGTATACTTGAGAGTAGTTTTGCTGTATTCAGCTGATTTGGATAGAGGCTGGGAGAGTCTTATTTTTGCTGTTACAGCCTGACCCCACATACCTTACAGCTAGTTTTTAACCTTCTCAGAAACTTCAATCCTGGCCTCAGTCTTGCTAATGCAAAGCTACTTGGACCTCGGCTATTGGTGAGAATGGACTCCTTTTAAATTCAGACTGTTTTTAATGACCACAACTTTGCAACTTCAGTTGTTAGCTAGACTAACTAGTGTTTGAAGGGCTGGGACACTTGGGTGTGGTATAGGAAATTCCTGGATGAGACAGATTGTCAAACCCATTCCAATCTGGATTCAAGTCTGGGTTGGGATGAAGATGGCTTCTGTCACTCTGGAACTAGACAGAATCAGAAGGCCCCTATTGGTTCTGCTTGACCTCTCGTCAACATTCCAGGCCACTGATCATGGTAGATCCTTTTGGAGCATCTGGCAGGACTGGGCTGGGGAGATACTCTAGTTGCTAGTTGTGTAAGGGGACAGTGGGGAACTCATGTTCAATTTGCATAATTTTTCTTCTTTCTTGGTTCTTGTCTGCCATCTTATTCAACATAATCACGAAACTGAAATGCTCACCAGGAAATCTTGGGACACATTGTTGCTAATCAGTCTTTTTTTTTTTTTGTATTTATTTTTGTTGATCATCAGCATGGATTGGACTTTTTGTTTATTAACTGCAGTAGACTGGCTTTGCCAGAAGCATGTGGCACACAAATAAATAAATAAATGTCAGGCGATATGTAACTTTTTATTTTTATTTTATTTTATTATCTTCTAGGGAGATAATAAAATTATTTTCTTTTCTTTTATTATCTTCTAGGGAGACTACTGATCAATGTATTGGATGACAGCTAATCAATTGAGATATAACCCAGAGAAAAGGGAGCCACTCCTGGTTAGAAAGTTAACAAGCTCTAGAATAGGATTTCTTCCTGTTTCAGATGAGGTAGTACTTGCCCTAAAAATCAGCTGTGCATTCTGTTGCACTCAGATGTTTTGCCCAGCTTAAACTGGTGTGTCAACTGTGCCAGTTCCAGAGGAAGCCAGATATGACCAAAATGGCACAAGTAGACTGAATTACTGCAGTGCACCAAGTAGTTTCTTTTGAAGAATGTTTTAAAAGCAGCACAACAGGTCTAGAATGCAGCAATGACATACTGTTGAATATTCCCAGGCAGATCCCTAATAACCAATTACACTGGTTACCAATTTGTTTCCAGCACAATTCAAGTATTGTCTCAATGATGCACCAGTCCCTCTTAGGGACTTAATAAACAAGATGCTCTAGGATGCACAGACCTGAACTCCCTGGAAATATAAATGAAGTGCACCAGCCATCTCCTGATTAGGAAATACTCCTAGGAATTTTCCTGGGGAATAACTAGATTGTTTACCACTTGGGTCATGGAGAAAATCTATCAATCTATGTGGTTGTTAGGAGTCAACACTGACTTGATGGCACATAATCAATCAATTACCAGTTGGGGGAGTTAACATCACTGGTAGCAATGTTAGAGGCATAGCTAGAAAAGTCACTTGACTTTATAGAAGACATGGCTGAACAGCTGAGAAAGCTTAGTTGAGATAGAGAACAGAGAGGAAGTAAATAATAATATGGTAGTTGGCCTTTTCTTATATACAAACTTGACAACTCTGTGGGAGATTAGGTGAATGGGACATATTAAGCAGTGAAGCTTTCATTTCCAGCAGTGAATATGTTAGCTAGTTGGGTAACAAAACGTCTGCAAGAAAACAACCAAGCTCAGAGAACCCCAAGACTCCACAGAGAAGCTTTTTTAATACTGGAAAGAAATCCATTTTCATTGTGATTGTCCACAGCTAAAGATGCTACTATTACAGCCCCCATTTGGATTCTGGAACTTCACACAGAACATATTCCTCTCTAGCCCTACTAAGACAGCAAAAGTTTTTTTTTTCTTCTTCTGCCACTAGTATTACTGTACTGCACCAATACTAAAAAGATGCTAAAAACTCTCTCCTGAAATCCTTCACTGGATTGAAGCCTATCAAATAACAAAGCATCGGTTCCAATATTTACCTGCACTGGCCTTTGTTTAGCACAGATTTTTCCTTGCAGGTTGGCCTCCATTTGAGGAAGAATGAATCCAGAATGCTTTATCTCTAAAAGGCTTTCCAGTTTCTCACCTCTTGTGAGTATAAACAGCTAATTTGGTTAGATCTTAACACACCAACTTTCTGTCATTTCTTGGGGAATAATCAGCCTGTGGACCATTTGGGACATTTATAACACTGGTAGCAATAGCATAGTCAGGAAATGCCGCATGACATGGCTGAGAACTGATATATCCTTAGCGTGTTTAAATTTCAATGGATCCATGAGCCTATTATAAGGGTAAAGCAATTCATTATTTATACTGATGAGGGATCAGGGGTCACATCTGGATTTCCAGAAATGAAGTGTTGATTTAGAACCTTATCAGAATTTAGGGTGGGTTAAGCTTATATATCTGAACTGGAATTTCAGAAACCAGTTCTGTGTTGCTTATTCTTCTAAAGGTACTAATAGAATATTCACAAGATTCTGGAAATGTTGCCATCAATATGCATAAGAGCTACAATTTGATTTTTTCATACCCACAGAAGGATGATCCAGTTTGAAACCTCAGTGTAACCATTAGCACAACACACACACATTCCCTGACTGATATATTCCAAACTTATTCCATTTTAATACCAACAATATAGGGATTTCCAGACCACTAGGAGAAACTATTTTAAAAAATCTAGATACATCCTTGAGGAGAAGCCCTTTTAGATCTTCCTGTATGTCAATAATGTGTTTTATGTAATTTAAGTGCGTGACAAACTCTTTTTTGGTTTTGTCAAGACACAGAGAAGTCGGCAGTAGCTGCTAAGTAGTAATTAACCGCTATCTCAGGAATGAAGTTTCTCAGTGTACTGCTTCAAGGGTCTCCTGATCCTGTCTGATTGCATAAAACAAAATGCAATGCAAGGAATGCACGGATTAGTTAGCCTGTTTGGCAAAATAATTTAGCCGCTGGCAAATGCACTGGGGGAAAGGGGACAAGAAATCAGCAAATAACTCAAAAGCAGCCCAGAGCAGCTAAACATGAGCCATTAAAGATATCCAAGAAAGGACACCATTTCCAAAGCTGCTCCTCTCATCTACTCCACATTTCCACTCCTAAGGAGAATGCTCTTCTGCCCTCAACTATCCATTCAAAACTGCACTTAAGACAACTGCGGGTCTTCCTGATAAAGGGTGTCAGTCACTCTCCTCTCACGTGTCTTTTTGCCAGTTGGACACCAGTTCACGTTTGGGCTGAATTCACACAGCCTAGCCAAGCTTAAAGTTATCGCCACTGCTGCTGGAATTATCCCAGGCAGAATCAGCCCCCATTCATTCTAAAAGGAATTCCAACCATCCCGGAGAACCGGATTCATATCTCAGACCCTCCATCATTGCACCAACCTGTCATTTATGACAAGAATCCCAAATGGGGAGAATAAGAGAACAGAGAGCAACCACAAAGACAGCTGTTCTTTGTCCATGCCCTTTTTTTTTCCCCTTGGGTGTCTCTGAGTCGGTTTTTTGACTCCTGGCGACTGCCTGGACAAGTCCTTGCAGTTTTCTTGGCAAGGCTTTTCAGAAGTGGCTTACCATTGCCTCCTTCCTAGGGCTGAGAGAGAAGGACTGGCCCAAGGTCACCCAGCGGGCCTTGGGCCTAAGGCAGGACTAGAATTCCTGGTCTCCTGGTTTCTAGCCCGGTGCCTTAACCACTACACCATATTGGCTCTGAGTCATGCTTTACTGCTTTAAGAGAGAGAAACTCACTACTGAGAGGTGGATGTGAGCCTAACAAGAGGGCAAGATAAAAAATGCAAACGTGCCATGCACTTCCAAGCCTCACTAACCAAAGGGGAGACCTTCAAGAATGGTGCCTTTATAAGCAGACTGCAAAAATCATGATAAATGGAGATTTAACAGAACAGATAGACATAACAAAAGGGACGAGACAAGGCTGTCCACTATCGCCCTTGTTGTTTGTCTTAACATTAGAAGTGTTGAACAGGAATATAAGAGAAGAGAAAGAAATAAAAGGAATGAAGATCAAAAAGGAAGAGTTCAAATTGCAAGCTTTTGCAGATGACCTAGTATTTATACTAGAGGACCCATTGGAAACAGCACCTAAAGATAGGTAAATATGAAAAGATAGAAGAATATGGAAAAGTAGCAGGATTAAAAATAAACAAAGATAAAACAAAGATATTAACAAAGAATA